GAGGAAGGAAGACCAAAAGGTCTAATTCCTTAGACCAAGAGCCTCTTCACCACGCCAGGAAGCCCCTATTGAAGAGGTGCAGTAGTAGAATAATGCAGAAGAAACCTTCCTCCATAACGAAAAACTTTTGTTTTTCCTTTTTCGGGGTCACCCTGCCTTGGTGGAAGACGGCTGTTGTGTTAAAAAAATATATACAGTGGAACCTTGACTTACGAGTGTCCCAACTTACGGGTTTTTTGAGATACGAGCCGTCCCTGGGTCGATTTTTTGCTTTGAGTTACGAGCCAACATTTGAGTTACAAGCCAGCTCCCCCCTCCCTCTTCTCCCTCAACCCAAAACCTGGACACCTCACTTGTTTATCTATGATTTCATACTTTAATTCCATGGAAATCATTATCTTTTTCTTCTCAGCAATAATAATATAATATTATTACAGTCAACTCACTCAATAAGTCAGTCAAGTCATTCAGTAAGTCACACAAACTTATGTTAACCTCTTTTTCTGTGTACAAAGTAACACTTCAGTTAGGGCTACAGGTTATCTCTTGTCTAATATCTTTGTTAATTCTAAGACTTAAGTGCTTATACCTCTTCATGCCACTTTCAGCAACACTAGTATGGCTACTGGGTGTCATGATTGCTTGGCAGATACAAGATATAGTAATTAAAATATCGTAACACAACTGACAAACACAGCTGCCTTGTAGCAGAGAAAGACTGGACACGTATGAATTAGGAATGCTGGGATGGTGGGAGGGCTCCCTGGCTGCTACACCAAGGCGGCCCCGCTTGAGCAAAAGAGATTTTTTTTTTCCTTCTCACAACTGAACCATGTTAAATTAATAATACAACATGTTATATAAAAATTGTGCAGCAATTCTTCAATGGCAGTCTACTGTATATTATAATAACAATAGAGCTTCCGTAAATTAATAATAACATAATAATAACAATTATATTTATTTATTTATTTATTTATTTATTTAAAAATTTGAGCACACATACAGAGGTACAAAAAATACAGATAAGAGGCAGCATGCCAAAGCCACTTATACTATGCATAGCATTACGGGCTGGCTTAAAATTAACTTAAGATGAACTAAGCAATGATGACATCAGTGATAAAACTTTAATGTAAACCAGATTACTATAAAGCACAAGTGAGTATTACAAAGACAGGTCATATGGTTGTATGCATTGTTTTCACATTCAGTAGAATGGAGTATTTTGTTAGGTAGTGTATTTAAAAAATAATAAAGTTAGACTGGGTTTTAGGTTTTAACATTTATGTGATATAATTGTGAGAAACATTTAAGATATACAATTTATAAGGTTCAGTTATTCAGTATTTATTTGGTTTTGGGTGAGTAAGTGATCTTTGAGAAGAGACTTGAATTTATAAACAGGTAGTGTTTCTTTTATATTTACAGGTAATGAGTTCCAGATTTTAGGGCCTTTTATGTGCATTGAGTTTTTGCATAGTGTGAGATGGACACGAGGAACATCAAAGAGTGATCTGTACCTTGTGTTATGGTCATGTGTTCTGTTGAGGTTGGCAAGGAGATGTTTGAGGGGAGGGTTAATATCAGAGTTAAGTGTTCTATGTATGTAATAGGTGCAGTAATAAGTATGAATGTTTTGTATGGTGAGTAGGTTTAGTGTATTGAATATTGGTGGAGTGTGCTGCCTATAGTGAGAATTTGTTATCATTCTAACTGCAGCCTTTTGTTGGGTAATTAGTGGTCTGAGATGGTTACTTGTTGTTGAGCCCCATGCACAAATTCCATAGGTGAGATAGGGGTAAATAAGAGAGTGATATAGGGCCAGGAGGGCTGACTGTGGAGCATAGTACCGTATCTTCGATAGTATGCCTACAGTCTTGGAAATTTTCTTAGAAATTTGTTGTATATGTGTATGAAATTTGAGTCTATTATCAAGGTGGATTCCTAAGAATTTTCCCTCTGTTAGCTTTGTGATAGGTGATCCGTTTATCATTATGTTAAGAGGGACATCTGTAGCTCTGTTACCAAACTGAATGAAGTAGGTTTTGTCAATGTTTAGTGTAAGTTTGTTAGTCCTCATCCAGGTAGATATTTTCTGTAATTCGGTATTTACAGTATTGGCTAGCGTGACTGGGCTCGGGTGGGAGAAGACGTATGTAGTGTCATCTGCAAATAGTGTGGGTTTGAGTAATTGCGAAGCATTTGGTAGGTCATTTATGTATAGGAGAAAGAGAAGAGGGCCAAGGACACTTCCCTGTGGGACACCAACTGTAATTGGTTGTGCAGAAGAGTTTGCCCCATTTGCATACACATATTGGCTTCTGTTGCTGAGGTATGACTTGAGGTAGTTGAGGGAGTGCCCTCTTATACCATAGTGTGACAATTTTACGTGGAGCAAATCATGGTTAACTGTATCAAAAGCTTTACGTAAGTCAATGAAGATCCCCAGTGGGACTTCTTTTTTCTCTATTGCAGTGTATATATGTTCTAGCATGTGTATAATAGCATCATTAGTATTTTTATTTGGCCTGAATCCAAATTGGCAGGGGTTGAGTATGTTTTGGGAGATAAGGTAGGAGTAGATTCGTTTATGAATTAATTTTTCGAAGATTTTTGAGAGAGGGTGCAAGTTGGATATTGGCCTATAGTTATTCAACTCTGTTTGGTCTCCTCCTTTGTGGATCGGGGTGACCCTTGCTATTTTGAGTACTGTAGGGAAGGTGGAGGATTCAATGGATTTGTTAAAGAGTGTTGCAATGATTGGTGATAGCACTTGTGACACTTTTTTGTATATAAAGGGTGGTAAGGTATTTAAATCTCCTGCCTTGTTTTTTAGCGTGTTGATAATAAGGGAGACTTCGTATGGGTTAGTCGGAGCTAGGAACAGTGTGTTCGGGTAGTTGCCCTAAATTAATAACAATAATAACAATAATAATAATAATATACTACTACTAACAATAATATTATTATTATTATAATGATAGAGCATCAGTTCCCTAAATTAATAATAATAATAATAATAATGCATAATATGTATGTAATAATTCAGATTGCTTCTGCTACTTGGTACAGCTGATCAGCAGTAAACATGTTTACATCCGTGTGGGGGGCAGTTCTCTCGTGCTTGTCTGCATTTTTTACAGTCATTTGGCCAAATTTCTTTTGTCTAACCATGGGTCCTAGTGATCTACTGCAGTTAACCTCAAAAATATTCGTTTTCTCTTACAGTAAGAACATGGGAAGATACCATGGTCAAATTGTGACAGAAATGGCCAACGCTTCTGCCGCTGCCACTTCCTCTGCCACCATATTATGGCTTATTTTATTCATTCTAGAGTACATTTCATGTTTCTGTGCTAATTATATTGTTTATTATGTCATATTAGATGAATTGTGATAGATAAATAAGCCGTTAAGTTGATAATAGTGTCATATTCAAGTATTTTTTCTCGTCTCTCCTGGGTGCAGGAACGAATTAATGGCTTTTCAATTAATTTAATATTCAATCAGTGAAAAAGATCTTTGTCTCCACAAATGTGTCCATGCACCACCCACCTCTTTCATAGACTCATCCACTGATAAGTTCACCCAAAATATCTGAACACATTTACTTCCTCCATACTCTCTCTCCTTCCTATCTGATATCCAATCTTTCAATGCCTCGATGTTTTGTATCTCATCACTTTAATCTTATCAATGTTCACTTTTAATTTCTTTTTCTTTTTTTCATACCCCTTCCAAATTCTTTCACAAACCTTTGCAACTTGTCTTCAAATCTCCCATAAGAACTATATCATTAGTAAAGAGCAACTGAGGCAACTCTTACTTTGCATTAAATTCATTATCTTTTAATCACTCACACCTTTCCAACATCTTTTACAACCCCCACTTCTTTTACAACCCCCCCATCTATAAACATGTTAAACAACTATGGTGACATCACATATTCTTTACAGAGGCCTGCTCACACTGGAAAATAATCCCCCTCTCCTGCATACCCTAGCCTGAGCCTCACCATCTGCAAAAAAAAAAAAAAAAAAAAAAAAAAAAAAAAAAAAAAAAAAAAAAACTCTTATAGTAACCTACGACCTATTCCAAACAACTACCATAATGCTTTCCTATTCACTCTATTACATGTCTTTTCTAAATTTTTAAATGTGACAAAAAAGTGCCTTACCTTTATCTAAGTATTGTTTACTTATATGCTTCAATGTAAATACTTGGTCTACACATTCCTGGCTTCCTCAAACCTCTTTGTTCCTCTGCAGTTTTACTTTCTATCTTACCCTTAATTCTTTTCATAATAACTAAACCATACACTGTACCTGGTATGCTCAACAGGATTATTCCCCTTTTAACATATACAGTACTATACTGTATAGCTATATTTAGAAAATAAAACGCAGTATGACAACCACTGTATACTGCACATGCAAACTATGTGCTCATGACTATTATTTTTATGTTTAATTTGAAGTGCTCAACATGTATACTAGGCAATTCTGCATAAGTTGTAGTGGTGACTCAAGAATCTGTCTGCTTATCATGAGAGAGATGTTACTTACCCAGTCATCACCATAACAATGAGAGTACACCAAACTACCGAGCTTTTTACATAAGACTACTAGTACGAACAACAACTGATATGTTTATTAATAACACTACATTACGATACACACTCAATGCAATTTTATGTGAAGTTTTGGTAGTTTGGACAACAAAGTTATTGAAGTAAGAATATCTACTGTACTCACAGATGTTTAAAGTATTGAGCACATTTAGTTACTCTACATGCTATACAAACACAATGCTACCTCCTACCAACATCAAAAATAACATATGGGTTATACCGGTACACTGATGAGCAGCAATTAGAGGTAACTTTATTTAAAGCTTTATAATAAAATTAAGAAATTATTCATACTTTCATTAAAGCCTGGCTGGGTAGCAGCAGCTAAACTAATACTGTTATCACCTTCACTGCCACCAAAACTTACTGCTTCATCAAGTTGGTTCGTGGACACACATTGTTGAGTTTGTTGTTATTTGTAATTTTCCGAAGACTTAGTTGCCATTCCTACACAGAAAAATCCAAACATACTAGTGATTTAATGATAAAAATTAGAAAAAATATTAGAAAGTTAATGTTGCACTACACTCTATGAACCTTGAAAATAATTTATACAAACAAAGACTCATTTCCAAAATTATAGTCACTAAGTCTGAGTTAGCAAAACATGCTATGAATAACCGATGAAATGAACTGGTACAGCAGTTCTTGAGACTTGCAACTATTAAAGTCATTCATCACCTGCTAATATAATACTGTAGACTATATAAAACATAGCTAATTTAACCTTCATGTGACAACTTGTTCAATGCTTAATGTTTTGGCTCACACTAATAATAATGTACCCATTAATTTTTTTTACAAGTAATCAACTATAACCAAGTCATCAATAGATAATTTAGAGAGATGTCATCCAAAGATTAGTCACCTGTATGATGTTAGTGATTGGGAGCCTCTTATGCTAGAATTTAGACAAGGTCAAGGATGCACTTCATTATTTACCTATTGCATCTATAGGAAAATATCACTTGAAATACAGTCTAACATAAATTCTACAAATTTTATAGAGAACTTTAACAAAATTCTGAACTGCTGAATTCCAAACTTTGAGAGGACTGTGAGCAATGATGAAGATTAATAATGTTTCACTCATCTTCAAGTGTTTGAAATTCTTTATACTGTAAATAATTCAGAGTAAATATATATTTTATCATTAAATTGTTTACCAAATTTGCAATGATATGGTATTTTATTACTGGTAAACATTAATTTTTTAATGTTTTCAAAAATTTACCAATAAATTCTCACAACAGTCTAAGCACTGATAACACACACACACACACACACACACAACACACACACACACACACACACACACACACACACACACACACACACACACAGTAATGAAGTAAAGATTAAAAATTAGTGTTAATGCAAATATCAGCAACAACAATAGTACATATAAATTATGTAATGATAAAAATAATGCATGCCATTCATATATATATATAGTAACAAATATAAGGCACAAGCTTGTCTGTGATGAATTGACTCAAGTCAATATCTTGAGTCAATTTAAGAGATCAAGTACAGTGGAGCCTCGGTTTTCATCAAATTCAGTTTTCGACAACTTTTTCATCGAGATTTTGTCCCAGTTTTCATTCATCACCTCAGTTTTCGTCGAGTTGACAGTGGTCTGATGTACTGAACATGTCCACCTGCACCCACACAAAGCATCCCATGCGTTCTAAGTCAGTCTGGCTTTGTTTCTTGTCGGTAAAGGGTGGTAGTGATGGTGGCAGAGGGTGGCAGTGATATATATATATATATATATATATATATATATGAGAGAGAGAGGAGAGAGAGAGAGAGAGGAGAGAGAGGGGAGAGAGGGAGAGAGAGAGAGGGGAGAGAGAGAGAGGAGAGAGAGAGAGAGAGAGAGGAGAGAGAGAGAGGAGGAGAGAGAGAGGGAGAGAGAGAAGGGAGAGGGAGAGGAGAGAGGAGAGAGGAGAGAGAGAGAGAGGAGAGAGGGAAGAGAGGAGAGGGGAGAGAGAGAGAGAGAGAGAGAGAGAGAGGAGAGAGAGAGAGAGAGAGAGAGAGAGAGAGAGGGGAGAGAGAGAGAGAGAGAGAGGGAGAGAGAGAGGAGAGAAGAGGAGAGAGAGAGGAGAGAGAGAGAGAGAGAGAGGGGGGAGAGAGAGGAGAGAGAGAGAGAGAGAGAGAGAAAGAGAGAGAGGAGAGAGAGAGGGAGAGGGGAGAGAGGAGAGAGAGAGAGAGAGAGAGAGAGAGAGGAGAGAGAGGAGAGAGAGAGAGGAGAGAGAGAGAGAGAGAGAGAGAGGAGAGAGAGAGAGGAGAGAGAGAGAGGAGAGAGAGAGAGGAGAGAAGAGAGAGGAGAGAGAGAGAGAGAGAAGAGAGAGGAAGAGAGAGAGGAGAGGAGAGAGAGGAGAGAGAGAGAGGAGAGAGAGAGAGGAAGAGAGAGAGAGGAGAGAGAGAGAGGAGAGAGAGAGAGGGGAGAAAAGAGAGGAGAGAGAGAGGAGAGAAGAGAGGAGAGAGAGAGAGAGAGGGGAGAGGGAGAGAGAGAGAGAGGAGAGTGAGGAGAGAGATGAGAGGAGAGAGAGAGGAAAAGAGGGAGTGGTGTGTGTGTGTGTGTTGTGTGTGTGTGTGTGTGTGTGTGTGTGTGTGTGTGTGTGTGTGTGTGTGTGTGTGTGTGTGTGTGTGTGTGTGTATACTCACCTATTTGTGGTTGCAGGGGTCGAGTCATAGTCCTGGCCCTGCACTCTTCACTGATTGCTACTAGGTCCTCTCTCTCCCTGCCCATGAGCTTTATCATACCTCGCCTTAAAACTATGTATGGTTCCCACCTCCACTACTTCACTTTCTAGGCTATTCCATGGCCTGACTACTCTATGACTGAAGAAATACTTCCTAACATCCCTTTGATTCATCTGAGTCTTCAACTTTCAATTGTGACCTCTTGTTTCTGTGTCCCATCTCTGGATCATCCCGTCTTTGTCCACGCTGTCTATTCCACGCAGTATTTTATATGTCGTTATCATGTCTCCCCTGACCCTCCTGTCCTCCAGTGTTGTCAGGCTGATTTCCCTCAACCTTTCTTCATAGGACAATCGCCTTAGCTCTGGGACTAGTCTTGTTGCGAACCTTTACACTTTCTCTAATTTCTTAACGTGCTTGACCAGGTGTGGATTCCAAACTGGTGCTGCATACTCTAGTATGGGCCTGACGTAAATGGTATACAGAATCTTGAACGATTCCTTACTGAGGTATTGGAACGCTATCCGTAGGTTTGCCAGACGCCTGTATGCTGCAGCAGTTATCTGATTGATGTGCACCTCAGGAGATATGCTCGGTGTTATACTCACCCCCAGATCTTTTTCCTTGAGTGAGTCAAGAAATCGTAATGACACGATTGCAAATAAACCATACCCCCGGCCGGGATTGAACCCGCGGTCATAGAGTCTCAAAACTCCAGCCCGTCGCGTTAGCCACTAGACCAGCTAGCCACAATAAGATTCATCCAACTAGGTATATTTCTACACCATAGGAAAGTTAGCACAGGCACCTCTGTGACCACAAATGCAAGTTTTTACAGACGAATCTCCAGCTAGCGTGGCCGTGACGAACTCTAGCTCAAGTCCCTTCACTGCCGTCAACATGACGGCAGTGAAGGGACTTGAGCTAGAGTTCGTCACGGCCACGCTAGCTGGAGATTCGTCTGTAAAAACTTGCATTTGTGGTCACAGAGGTGCCTGTGCTAACTTTCCTATGGTGTAGAAATATACCTAGTTGGATGAATCTTATTGTGGCTAGCTGGTCTAGTGGCTAACGCGACGGGCTGGAGTTTTGAGACTATGACCGCGGGTTCAATCCCGGCCGGGGGTATGGTTTCCTTGAGTGAGGTTTGCAGTCTTTGTCCATCTAAACTATACTGTGTCTGTGGTCTTCTTTGCCCTTCCCCAATCTTCATGACTTTGCATTTGGCAGGGATAAACTCAAGGAGCCAGTTGCTGGACCAGGCTTGTAGCCTGTCCAGGTCTCTTTGTAGTCCTGCCTGATCCTCATCCGATTTGATTCTTCTCATTAACTTCACATCATCTGCAAACAAGGACATTTCTGAGTCTATCCCTTCCGTTATGTCATTCACATATACCAGAAACAGCACAGGTCCTAGGACCGACCCCTGTGGAACCCCGCTTGTCACAGGCGCCCACTCTGACACCTCGTCACGTACCATGACTCGTTGTTGCCTCCCTGTCAGGTATTCTCTGATCCATTGCAGTGCCTTTCCTGTTGTGTGCCTGATCCTCTAGCTTTTGCAGTAACCTCTTGTGAGGAACTGTGTCGAAGGCCTTCTTGCAGTCCAAAAAATGCAGTCGATCCACCCCTCTCTCTCGTCTTACTTCTGTCACCTTGTCATAAATCTCCAGTAGGTTTGTGACACAGGGTTTTCCTTCCCTGAAACTGTGCTGGTTGTCAATTATACACTTGTTTCTTTCCAGGTGCTCCACCACTCTCCTCCTAATGATCTTCTCCATGACTTTGCATACTATACACGTTAGTGATACAGGTCTGTAGTTCAGTGCCTCATGTCTGTCTCCCCTTTTTAAAAATTGGGACTACATTTGCCATCTTCCATACCTCAGGGAGTTGCCCAGTTTCAATTGATGTGTTGAAGATCTTTGTTAATGACACACACAGTATCTCTGCTCCCTCTTTAAGGACCCACAGAGAAATGTTGTCTGGTCCCACTGCCTTTGAGGTGTCAAGTTTGCATAGCAGCTTCTTCACCTCCTCCTTGGTTATATGTACCTCATCCAGCACTTGCTGGTGTACCCCCCTGTTCTGATTTCCTGGAGTCCTACTGGTTTCCACTGTAAATACTTCTTTAAATCTCGTGTTGAGCTCCTGACATACCTCTCGGTCGTTTCTTGTAAACTCCCCATCACCCTTCCTCAGTCTGATTACCTGGTCTTTGACTGTTGCTTTCCTCCTGATGTGGCTATACAACAGCTTCGGGTCAGACTTGACTTTCGATGCTATGTCATTTTTATATTGTCGCTGAGCCTCCCTTCTTATCTGTACATATTCGTTTCTGGCTCTTCGGCTAATCACTTTATTTTCCTGAGTTCTCTGTCTTCTGTACCTTTTCCATTCTCTAGTACACCTAGTTTTTGCCTCCCTACACCTTTGGGTGAACGAAGGACTCGTTCTGTTCTTCCCATTATTTCTGTTTCCCTTGGGAACAAACCTCTCCTCTGCCTCCTTGCATTTTGTTGCCACATAGTCCATCATTTCTTGTACTGGTTTTCCTGTCAGTTCCCTCTCCCACTGAATGTCTTGCAGGAAATTCCTCATGCCTGAGTAGTTCCCTTTTTGTAGTTTGGTTTTTCCCAACCTATTCCTGCTACTCTCTCCACTTGAAGCTCAACTATGTAGTCGAAGCACAGAACCACATGATCACTAGCTCCCAGGGGCCTTTCATACATGAT